TTGGTTCTAGCATTAAAATCACCAAGGATCATTATGTTTCCTTTTGATGAAAATTGTATAATATCATTTTCTAATTCATCAAAAATTTCATTTTCAAAGTAAACAGATTTTTCTGGTGGAATATACACACCACATACAAATAGATCATTTTTTGAATTTAACACATCTTTTGATTTTTGCACCATAGAAAATTTTTCGACTTTTTAACAATTAAAGTAAATTTTTCAAATTTGGTTCTGGTTAGTAGAGTGATACCACCCGATTTGCGACATGCCCGGTTGGTATGAGGTTTTGCAGTATCAGAGACAAAAGACCTGAAACCAGGAACATCTATATTTGAGTTACACCAAGTTTCAGTGGGGAAAATGAAATCTATATCACAGAGTAGAGACATACAGAGACGTAACTAGTGTACCCACTTTTTTTGTGCGCATGCTCGGCAAGTTGCTAGATGCATGCATCTGATTGGATGACGACCTGATGATGACTCACTTTAAACTTGCTGAGCACGCGCAGTTGATCATTTTTTGTCCGGTCGCCTGAAAAAAAGTGGGTACATGATAACGTAATCTTCCGCAGTGTTTACAACGGTCAGTTACGTCTCTGTATGTCTTATCTACTCTGTGTCTATATTATTAATATGGTCAATGAAGTCCTTGTTTTTAGTTTTCTCACCAAGGACAACATTTGAAATACCATGGATGTTCCAGGTACTGAATGATAAGTTTGTAGACATTTATAAAAAAAAAAATAAGCAAGTTATCTATAGAATGACCAGGCATTTTCTAATAAACTAAATATAAGGTTGTCAAAATTTCAAAGTAATAATTAGAAGAGAAGGGGAAGTATATAGAAGATAATTAAGTTCATTATCCTCAAGTGTTGCATAATTGTCCTACAACCATTAAATATCATTCTTATGTTATATGACTTGTTGTCAATTAACATACCTATGTAGGTCCTTGATTAGTTGTATCAGATCCATTGGTATTTCTTGTTTACTTTTATGATTTCCAAGTCTTGCTTCTTGGTTCCCAAGGAGTGTTGTCAGTTTTGGGATTGTTTGTTGATGGTAAGTCGGGATATTGATAATGATTGTTAGGAATTTTTTGGTTGGAAACTTTGCTGAGGAAAACTTGCTGGTGGAGAGTGAGGAGGATGAAAAGGAGTAGACTGGTGGTAAGGATTAAAGGGGAAGAAGGGTCGGTTATATGGGATCTGAGAATTTGGAAAATTCTTTCTTGGTTTGTATGGATTCTTAAAATATGCATGCTTCAGGCTCTGAGCAAAACGCTTGACTCCAACATCATTGAAATGTTTCTTGTCTTTCAGGGGGTATTTGGAGTTGATGTTGGGGTGTCTGACAAAGGTGATGTTTTTCTTTGTAGATAATGATTTCTCCAAACTATTGTTGAAGGTCATTCCCCTCTTGTCTAATTCATCACTTCTTGGGAGAATGGATGAAAAAATTATGTGGGATTCTGGGTGCTTAGTTTGGATAAGTTCCACGTTGTTGGTTGCATTCTTTATGAGTGTCTCATTTGTATCTGAGTGTTCTAAGTCATTTGTTCCAGTGTGGATAATGAAGGATTTAGGTGAGGTATATGTAGTACTGTTTATTATTGATTTTGCCTGTGCAAGGATGGCACATCGAGTATAGCTTGTTTTGCTGTTGGGACATAATAATTAAGGGTTTAGATGTCGGCCATTACTATTGCAAATTAATATTGTATCAGCTTCATTCCTTGTGTTGTTTTGGCCCGATGTAACAGATTGCTGTTTTGAGGGGGATTTGTGTGTAGGTTCTTCAATGATGGATTCATCTGAGAGGGACAGGAATTTGTTTGAAGTGGGGACATCAGTATCCGATGCAGGGGAGTTGATTTGATTGGTACATCATCATTAATTCGGCTTTGATACTCTCGTTTAATGCTGCCAGTTTACCTATTAACATTGAGTTTTTCTCTTCAATGGCTTAGATAATGTTTATTTTTAAAATTCCTTTGCCAATGAACTCGTAAGATGGGTTGTTTTGTATATCAGATAAAGATCGGATGCTCATGTTTTAACTAGTACTTAACGTTTTTCTCTAATATATATCCGTAGTTCAAATTATATTTCCTTGACTAGATTCTTGTTACGGTTGTTCGTAACAGTGGGTTTTATATTAAGATATCTTATGGATATTCAGAATTCTGTAAAACCTCCCCCAACATCAGGGCCATATGTTAGATTATGGACTATTATGGTCTTCCCCTTGAAGTAAAGTTTTTAATTACTTTTACTATAACATACAGAGGAAATCGCGCTTTTGACACTCCTGACTGTCTCCGATCTTTTCAAAGCTCGCTACATACCGCTCATTTACATATAGGATATACTGTACCAGTATTAAAACCTGTTTTTATTCTTTTTGGTTTACGTGTAGGTTGAATCAAATACAAATGAAAAAGATACTGTCACAATTCAAACGGGAAGAGACAAATTGCTTAAAAAGAGTGCAATCTATCAGACAGGTAACCAAGATAGCATGACTAAATACCAGCTGTCTATTAACAATGCAGCTTATCAATTATGCTTGGAAGACCCCAGTCTGTTGCATAACAGAGGACAACTTACAATCTTGCAAGGAAGAAAATAGATGACGAAGGGTATTGCTATAAAAAGAAAAGAAGTAGATCAAAATCATTTGGCACTGGAGCTGAGAAGTCCAAAGAACCATAGCAAGTCAAATTATCTGCTGAGTTCCAACAAAAGCGAATTCAAGCCCGGACCGAAGACATTGATAGCATGAATACAATTATGGCGCTCTTGGAAAAAGAAAGATTCAAGCAACATAACATGAAAAAGTATGCTCAAGCAGCAAGCATAGAGGAACAGATTTCTGCTTCAAGAAAGGAGACACATCCATTGACAGAAAAGCTGGCCAAACTGCAAGAAAAGGAAGCACGGTCCAATCGGTATCATACAGCTAAGGCAAGCCAGAGTAATAATCCAAAAGGCAAAGGGCAGACCGCAGAAGTTAACAAGCAGGCCCAACGAACTTGTTTCAAAGTGGAGTTAAACCTAAAATGCAGAGAGCAATGGTGAAATTGAGTCTGGCCAGAAAGATTGTAGCATAGTGAAGAGTATTGCGAGGAATGAAATAATACACGAAGAGAAAAAGGTTGAGGAAGATAGTGTAATTATGCAGGATATTAGCGCAGATTGATTCTGGTGAAGGAGTAATGAACAACGAGAAAGACGTTGGAAAAGATATGAATGAAGAAAGTAAGGAAATGACACAGATCGCTCTTTTTTATGAGTTTGATGACTTTGCCAGATATACAACTTGGGCAAAGAGATATTTCTAAAAACTTGTCTTACAATGAAAGCAATCTTGACGAAACAATGTCAGAAAAGTGTAAGCAATTGTATGAACATTATATGTTTTATGTTGATAGTAATTTAGGCCAACAAGCTGGTAACTACAATGAAAACGTTTAATTATCTTCGATCAACAACCTTAAACTGGATCAATTTATACTTGCTTGTAAATGGTATTGTAAATTGCACCACATGGACACAACATCTAAAAAGTGCACAAAGTGTAAACAGTTGATTGAAATTGCTGAAATAATCTGTGACAAAGGATTTTGTGAGTTATCAGCATGGTATCGTCAAATATTTCCGAGTTTGAAGTACCAGTCAGACAAGGCTATCAGAAAATTTATGCAATTACCGATGGCTATCTTCAAGTTGGAATTAAATGGTCCTGGATCGCAACGACTATACGTATGCGAAATCCGTCAAATGGTATATTACAAAGCATTTTCTCAATTTTGTCAGACTATCCTGTCTTCAAACTCCTTCGGGAAACGACAGAAAGGTCTTACCAGAGAAGCTTTGGATGTTCTGTGTAAACTAGCAAGCTCAGAATCTGATCGATGTCTTATTAAATACTCTGTTTGCAAAAGTCAAGGCCTCTCAGCCAAAGCAGCTCGCAAAAACTTTGGTTTTAATGACTTTCACAAAAAGGAGGATGATATTTTACGAGCTGTAGAGCAAGCAGAAGTCATTCGGCAAGCTGTTATGCAGCTAGCTAGTGTAAAGTCCAGTAAGTAGTCCAGTGAAAGATTATTTCACAGCGATGAGAGTTCTTTCAATGAAGTGTGTGAGAGTCGAGCAGATTATGATCAGCCTGTTGCAATGTATCAAAGTGGTGTTTGTGAAGACCATGAACAAATAGAAGCTGGATCTACTTCTATTACCAGTAATACAAGAAATGGGAATGCTATTAATGAATCAAGCAATGGTCAAACAGACACTACTGAGTCTCACACCACATGTATTAATAAATCTGAAGCTACTGGTATGTTAGGTGACCTCATTCCTTCAACAGAAGATATGCTGTTCATGTTGTGTTCTAATGAACTTAACTGGTTGCATTCGTTGGAGAACTTAAGATGTGGCTACAAGGTTTGTCTCCAGATTCATGGGATCAATTATTGATTGATTTTGCATATTATCTATCTGGCTGTGACATCGATGTAGATGAGAAACAATTGATTGAACAGTCAAAGCAAGCATACTTAGAGAGAGAAAGGCAGTGTATGATGGATGAAAGCAGTGACATCGTGAGTGACTCCGAAAGCGATAATCCAGATGATTGGGTTGGAATAGACAACATCGCAAGCAAACAAGCAAAGGAAATGGTGGCAAAGCAATGGAAACGACTTAAACAACGATCACGTATTAAAGCTGCGAAAGCCATTGTGCATGCAGGCCTACTCAAGCAGAACGTCACTAAGAAAGTTTCCAGAATCTTAGAAAAATATCCGAACATTGGTAAGGAAATAGAAGATTTCGTCATTGAGCAAAAGATAGGAGCAGATGCATGGCGTAGGACTGGTGTTTTGACGTTTTCCTATGGTAAAAATTATGAAAACAGCAGTCTTAAAGTGACATACAAACGTATTAGGGAACATCTTGAAGAAAAGTATCACACAAAATTTTCACATGGTACTATTGTCCAGCTGTGTGTGGCAATAAATAAAAGACGAACCAGTGCAAAATGGTACAAAGGGGTGGCTAAAGTCACATGTCGCCGAGCCAGGAAGGGTTTTGGACTGAAGCTAAATCCAGATGGTTCATTACAGTACCGCGATGTATAATTGTCTGGACAGTTACAAAAGAAAGATGGGAAAGATTCAATGATTCTCAGCAGAGATGATGCTTCTGGTTTTAGACTCAATTCCACTTATATGCACAATCAGCATTCTTCCTTGTCTCTACTATTGATGGTGCTTGCAACAGTAGTGAGCAGCTACACAAGAATTTGAATCTGGCTATTGATGTTTATATGAAGAGAGTAAATGGAGCACCCTGTGGAAACGGAACTGTTAGTTTACTTAAAGGATTATCATCAGAATTTGCCAAATATGCCAATGACAGACGTCCAAAGCTTTTAACGTTTCTAGCAGGAACAAAAAAAGCAAAGTAGGAATTACAGAAGCTTGAACTTACTTTAAAGACTTACTTTAAAACGTACTTTAAGGAGGTATGGGAAGTCCACGGTCGTCATATGGTTAAGAATCTTCCAAAACAATATGTTTTTATGCTTATGCTGTGTTTTCAGAAGAACTGTCCACATGGCAAATGTAGAAGTGACCACAAAGTCGAATTAAAGTGGTTTCCAAATGGACCATCGCTGGACTACTTTCCCCTACCTATCCCAGCAATGCAGTAAATGCCAAGGGAAATGTGCTGGTCATTTTCTGAGCCAAGTTGACAATCTTGCCCATTACAAGAAGCATGGAACCAAAGGAATGATGATCAATCCTCCCTCAAAGATACTGAGTGAAGCACACAAGACATTTGGTGCAAGTAAACCGAGTGAAGAACAGCTCATCGATTTGGCAAAGAAAACACTGCTAACAACAGAACATGTTAACATGTGGTTTGAGCATCTGGATACTGTACAGAAGAATCGTGCAGAAGGAGTTAAGAAAGCAAAAGCAAAAAGAGGATGAAAAAAGCAATTAAAGACATCCCAGAAAGGTAGTTATGTAACATTAATCTTTACTATAAATTTTAAAAATGAAGGTCATTTTAATATTTTCTCATGTTTTTCCTTCCTCCCCCCTGTAGATATAGAAATAAATGCTTATTGCTCATGTGGTGAAGGTGAATATGGTTTGATGGTTTCATGCGATGGAGAGAACTGTCCTATCGAGTGGTACCATGTTGAATGCATTGGCCTGGAAGAAGTACCTGATGGCAGTTGGTACTGTCCACAGTGCAATGATGAATAGTGGGCATATCTTGTTCAAATTTGATTGTTTTATTAAAACAAATTTACATGATCTTGAATCCAGTTTGCTTAATATAATTCAGTAATTATACACTATTTTAATATGTTTTCATTATCCAGGAGATAAATTTGCTGACACGACTTACAATCTCCCCAGGGGGGTGGGGGCATTTTTTTGTCTTTTGCTAGAAAATTTTGTCCCATATTGTGGGGCATTTGTCTGTTTTGGTGCGGTATTCAAAGCCAATCCCCACCTATATCCCGGGGTGGGGGGGGGGGTGGGGGTTT